GCGGATGTCTTGGATCTGCGCTGGAGATCCCCGGCGGCGCCTCCAGCGCCGCCCCTGGTGCGCTCCGCGCGCCAGGCAGGGGGGTCAGCGCAGTTTATGCTGATGGCGTTTGTTCTTTGCCTGTAGGTCCGGATTTGCTGGCTGAAGCCCAGCGGGAGGGAGACCTGCACATCCCCGAATAAATCAATGTCGGTACCTTCGGGGTTTTTAGGGAGCTGGCCCATAGTGCGTTGTCCAGGCGAGCTTCCTCTTTCCGATGTCAGGGTTTACGCATATCCATCGTTTTGAGAAGCAGTCTGACAGGATCTCGGGGGGCGGCGCAGCAGGGTCTCAGAAATTCTTCACGCTTCGCGTATCCCCACCAGCCCATTCAGAAGCCCTGCCCACGAGAGCTGACGGGATAAGGGACGAAGGGACACATCTAGGGAAACAAAGCGAGCAACCAGGATGAACCGAGAGATCTCTGGGAGCAAGGGGGTGGCCTTGGAAGGCCTCTTCGGGCCATCCCTGGGGGCCGCGTGGGGGCGAGGGGAAGAGGAGGAGAAAGAGGAGGAGGAGGTGGAGGGATCCAAAGAGTGTGATCCTGGTTTTATTCCCCATATCCTACGATGGGGTTCTTGGTATTACTTGGACGCCTCCTACTCCTCCTTCCTCTTCTTCTCCTCCTCCTCATACCTAGACCTACTCATACACAGACTTACTCATGCACAGACTTACTCAAACTCAGACCTGATCATATTAACTTGCTCATGCTCAGACCTACTCATACTCAGACCTACTCATACTCAGACTTACTCATGCTGAGACTCACTCATACCCAGGCTTACTCATACTCAGACCTTCTCATTGTCTGACTTACTCAACACACGGCAGATTGTGAGGATGTCTCAGGCGTGGCGCTGGTTTCAGCACCCCTAAGGGGAGCCGCCAAGGGGTATGGCACGGTCCCGTTCTCGGCCGTTTTGTGGGGATGTCTCAAGCGGTTTGCCTGTTTTCTGTCCCAACATCCTTCGCATGGAGAGCAGATTGTGAGGATGTTTCAGGCGGGGCGCTGGTTTCAGCACCCCTAAGGGGGGAGCCGCCGAGGGGTATGACATGGTCCCGTTCGCGGCCGTTTTGTGGGATTGTCTCAAGCGGTTTGGTAGTTTTTCCTGTCTCAACATCCTTCGCTTGGACAGCAGATTGTGAGGATGTCTCAGGCGTGGCGCTGGTTTCAGCACCCCTAAGGGGAGCCGCCGAGGGGTATGACACGGTCCCGTTCGCGGCCGTGTTGTGGGGATGTCTCAAGCGGTTTGCATGTTTTCTGTCCCACCATCCTTCGCTTGGAGAGCAGATTGTGAGGATGTTTCAGGCGGGGCGCTGGTTTCAGCACCCCTAAGGGGGGAGCCGCCGAGGGGTATGACATGGTCCCGTTCGCGGCCGTTTTGTGGGGATGTCTCAAGCGGTTTGCCTGTTTTCTGTCCCAACATCTTTCGTTTGGACAGCAGATTGTGAGGATGTCTCAGGCGGGGCGCTGGTTTCAGCACCCCTAAGGGGGGAGCCGCCGAGGGGTATGACACGGTCCCGTTCGCGGCCGTTTTGTGGGGACGTCTCAAGCGGTTTGCCTGTTTCTACTGTCCCAACATCCTTCGCTTGGAGAGCAGATTTTGAGGATGTCTCAGGCTGGGCGCTGGTTTCAGCTACCTAAGGGGAGCCGCCAAGAGTGCTTTCACGGCTGTGTAACCATAGCACTACCCTACAATATGAGATGCACAGGTTGCTCATATGGCTAGACGCTCATTTAAATATCCCAAATACAATTGTACCATGTAAACAGGATGCACATATTGGGAGCTCCACGCAGTGAGTCATTTTCTCGCATGCCCGGCTAGCCGGGCAATGATGGGGGGCAGAGCGGCGGTGGTGGTGAGGAGCTGGAGGAGGAGAACGGTAAAAGGGGGAGGAGGAGGAGGACGAGGATCAGGAGGGGGTGGTACGAGGGGTCAAATGAGGGCAATCCCAGTTGTATTTTCTCGTCTGCCCAGATAGCTGGGCAATGATGGGGGAGAGCGGTGGTGGTGAGGAGGAGGGGGAGGATTAGAAGTTTAAACAGGGGGAGGAGGTGGACGAGGAGCAGGAGGGTGAGGAGGGGGAGGAGGAGAAGGGTAAGAGGAGGGAGGTGGAGGAGGAAGAGGAGGAGAGGGAGGAGGAGGAGGAGGAGGAGGCGGAGGGGGAGGAGGAAGACGAAGGATCAACATATTGCGATCCTGGTCTTACTTTCCTCGTCTTCCTGGCTGGCAGGGCAATGATGGGGGGAGAGCGGTGATGGTGGCGAGGAGGAGGACGAGGCGAAGGGTCAGCCGTCAGCTGGTGCTGCTGTTGGTGGTGCTGCTGATGTTGTTGCTGCCTCTGCTGGTGCTGCGGCTGGTGCCCTGGAAGGCCTGTTGGCGCTATGCAGGAGAGCATCGCTCAAAAGATGGGGGTCCTCGATTTCGCCAGGCGCACTCAAAATCGCCTCTTGGAGCTCTCCTGTAGCTCTCTGGGAGGGTATTGGAGCTCTCTTGGGGCTCTTTTAGGGGTCTTGGGGCCCTCTTGGGGCCCTCTTGGGGCTCGCTTGGGGCCCTGTTGGGAGCCCTGGAAGGCCTCTTGGGGCCATCTTGAATGCCATCGATCAAAGGAGGAGATGGTGTAACGTTTAGCCCTCCCCCAAAGGGCCAAAATGGGGCCAAAACTTCTAGCAAAACCAATTATTTGGGCTTCCTCGCCAAGGCCGTTTTGGACGCCCTGACACCTCGCAGAACCCCCCAAAAAAGTCCAGGGGAGGGGGTATGGGGGATAGGTAAACCCCTCCCCATAGGGGAAGAGGGTTTTTTTGAAGAGGGGAGAGGAATCTCGTTAGACCACCTGCGCCCAGAGGGCTGGTGGGATTAACCGTGTCCAATGTCTCTCGAGGTCCTAGAACATAGGCTTTTGACGTTGCGTGTACGTAATATATCTTCAGGGCTTTGCCCTCTGCCGCCGGCTGCGCGGGGGTCTCTTTGGGGCCTTTGGGGGTCTCCTTGGGGCCTCTTGGGGGCCTCTTGAGGGTCTCCTTGTGTCTCTTGGGGGTCTCCTTGGGGCCTCTTGGGGGCCTCTTGGGGCCTGGACCTTCTTGGGGCCTCCTGATGCCCTCTCGGGGCGGAAAGGTTGAGTTTTCGATTCGTGGACTCCCTCTTGGGACTTTCTTGGGACCGTTTTAGGGCCTTTTTGGGCCGTCTGGTGCGCGTCTTGGACCGTCTTGGGGCCCTCGTCGGCCGTCCTGGGGCCGTCTTGGGGGCCTCTCGGGCCTTCATGGGGGCTTCTGGGGTGGTCGTGGGGCGATCTTGGGAACCTCTTGGTCCGTCTCGGAGCGTCGGAAAGCCGAAAAGGCGAGAAGGGCAAACTACATCAAAAAAGTTACTTGATTTTTGCTTCGTGGGGCCCTCTTTAGAGGCCTCTTGGAGGCCTCTTGGAGGCCTCTTGGGCCGTCTTGGGAGCATCTTGGGCCGTCTTGGGGCCATCGTAGGACGTCTTGGGGCCATCTTTGGCCGTCTCGGCCTCCTGAGGCTCTCTTTGGAGCCTCGTCGGGCAGTCTTGGAGGCCTCTCGGGCCGTTCTGGCCGCGCGGTAGCGTCGCCATGAGAATCTTGGGGTGGCACGGAGCAGCCTGGAGTTGAGGCTCACCCCCACCGTTGGCTTTTTGGTGACGCGGCGGGGCCCTTGAGCAGACAGTAAACAGGAGGCAAGAAACAGGACTGGAGAGACAAAGGGTCAAACAGCAAATGACAACACATAACACATGACAGCAGACCGCACACACCTTCGCAGCCTTGCGCCCCCGGAGGGGGCCGGCGGATTTTGCATATACGCGTAACCTCCAACCTCCGGCTCTTCGTTCTGGCCTTGCGCTTCCAGGGCCTTTGGGGGATATGGACAAGTTTCTGACCCGCTTGCGCACTCAGAAGGGCTTTTACGTGGAGGAGTGTCTTAGTTGGCGTCTGATCGAGGTCTCGCTCGACGGCTAGCGGCTAGCCCAACCGATTCAATATTGCCAAGGGTCTTCATTTCAGCAGAACTATCATCTCTCGAACGAGGGCTTAGATTACAGGCAAGCCCTTCGTCAAGTCAGACACTGGGCCCCTGGACGGTATACTGGCAAGTGCGGAGCTTGCCGATTCTGGGTCAGAGTTTTTGAGTGGAGAAATCTCCCCAAAGGCTGGGCCGACGTTCCTTAAACAACTTGCTGGAAAACTGGCCAAGTTTCTTCAGCACGTTTGTCCCTCCAGTGTGAGCAAAGAGGTTGGCCGAGGTTCGTCTGAAGAAACTTATGGAACACTGGCCCTGGTTTATTAACGTATTTCTTTATTGTTCATACATTCGATTGTGCATGCTGTCTGTCGTCCAGAATCAAGCATCCCGCTGTGATCTGGACCGCACGAAATGGCCTCAGCGGTACCGCCGTCCTGTCCTGGCACTTTTGGCGTCAGGGGCCCATACCTGTTGGCATCGAGGTGTGAGCGGGGGGGGGGAGGGGGATCGCGCTTGCTGAGCTTGGGCTTACTGTGTTAGACTTCTCTTCAACTTCGCTTGCGCATCAACCTCTCGCAGGCATTGTGAACAGACAGCATCGGGGCGTGTGCGCGAGCATGGTTCTGTTGGCAGTGCTGTGGAACGGCATCGTTCAGTGGTGAGCAGCGGGAGCCGCGCATAGAGGATACGCTCGGGAACGTATTGAAAGTTTTGTGTGTGTGTGTGTGGAAACTGGTGCGCAGGCGTCGCGGACCAGCATGGAATGCCGAGCGCTTCCATCGCCCATCTTCAGTCAGTTGTGTTCATACAGTATGTTGGTTTCCTCCTGGGTTCGTGGACAGCGTTGGTTCCTTCCTTGGTTTGTGAGCCGATGCGCCGACGCAAGCCGTGCAAACGATCGAGGGTTCAGCAGCCGCAGGCGCCATTTGCCTCATGTGGGGCCGTGTGCTGAAGCAGAGACGTCGTGGCGGGCAG